GATGAATGAGTGGGTCAGATTTAGTAATTCTGGAGCAAGACATATGTCTTGTCTTCACGTGTTACTTGCACTTTACACCTGAAGGCCATAAATACTACAAGCCACGCCTGGCAACTCTCACTTCCGTTAAATGTCGTAGGAATACGGAGTTAACCGACTTGGCTCAGTACTGTCGCTAATGGCTAGTACCAGAGCAGACCACGTAGAAGGCTAAAACCAGAGCAATAAGAATAATAAAAGAACCAGGTCTTGCAGCAGGAAGGAGTTTGCAGTATACACAAGTAAGAGCATGCAAAAAGTTTTTCAAGGAAGCCCCCCACTTTGTCTGGACACATTGACCGGACAAACCACCAGTTGTGTGGCCATAAGCAGCATTTGCACGGAAATTGTCCGTTGTCCGGACGTTATTTTTAGCTCTGGACTCTTGGTTATAGTATTAGTACAGGCAAGTTTTTTTCAGATATTGGCCAATAGTTTAAATGGCCATAACTCTATAATTTCTTGTCGGAATCAGCTCAAACTTTCTATATAGCATAAAGATATCAGTGTGTATCATGAAATGTGATAAAAATTGGGAGTGATTTTTGAGCCAGTTTTGGAAAAAAGCATGGGCTATATATAGTTGCTGTTGTGGACAAGGACAAGCCATAAATAACTGCCTTTTCCCTTTTGGCAAATATAACCAACATGCATGATAACAGCTGACCTACACCCTTTCCTGCATCTGTTTCATCCTTGCACTAAACAGAGAGAATAAAAACATATTTGAATGACAACTTTACTTCTCATACAACCATTACATTGACAAATATGAGTCCATCTGGGTTTCTTGATACTTTACAAGTCTTCTTATTTACGTCACCACCTTCCTCTTTCACTAAACTATGTCATTGCATGAAAAACAGCAAAAAAATCTGTTGTGTAGTGTTAGCTGTGCTGATTGGTCTATAAAAAAAATAATGGTTATATCACGAGATTAAAGCATGCATCCATGGCATCTCAAATCAAGTACATAGAGCTACATGTAAGTCACTGAGTGTTATGAAAATTTTTTTAGCTACATCATTTGTGAATTATTTGCCTGGCGTCTTAGTTACAGCTGTCTCAAATGCATAAAAATATCTCAATATTTTATGAAGGAGGTAGCCCCCCATCCATCTTTGTTAATTGGCCAATTTTTAAAATCAGCTATAAACACAGGTGCTATTATTATGACTGGATTTATCCTATGCTAGTAATAAGTGGTGGGTTGGATAAGAATAGCTGATTGTTGGATCTTTAACATCAAGGTATTATATTGACAGGCATTGCTTAGCCACAGATGATTTTTGGTGTTCAAGAAATTCGGCTTCACTCCATTATAGTCTCCACAGATTGAATGGCACAACGTTCAGGGTCCCATACTTTAGAGGCTGTAAGTTCCATTGTTTACCAAGCTCCATTCATTCCTTTTAATTAATTTCTTTAACAAATTCTTTGCCTCACAATGTGATGTCTTACATACAGACATCGAGCTCTTCATTTGAGGAGCTACATGTACCTAAAAACCCACATTTGACACAAGCTGAATGCAACACTTTACGTTCTCTTTTACTTGAAGTGAATAAAAAAGCAATTCTTTCATCACCTTCTCCCTTAGATCATCATCATAAATAGATCATGAGTCCTTATCCTATCTTAGCAGACAAAATGTATATGATAATCATATACCACATCATCATCATTATTACTAGCATTAATACTACATGTACTGTATGCTGGATTAGCTTCAGTTAGTAATTGGACAGTTGATCTGATGTTATTCTCGACTAGAAAAATAAATGAAAAAATTTGTTTTGTTCATACATGTATACCTTGACCATATGCTGGATCATCATCAATAATCACTCCTTGAGCTACCAATAACAATAAAATCAAAACTACTTTACTTTAATTTTATTTTTTACCTTCATTTTTCTTCCATCTTCTAATTCAAAACCCAACAATCATTGATACTATTGCTAGAATTAGAATGACTGAGCCCACCACTGAAGATACAGTATGTATTGGTGTGAAACTGTCTTGTGAGGTGTCATTGGTGATACACTGTATATTGAAGAGTTGAAGACACACTATTAATGAACTAGACAATATACCTATTAATACTGATGGAGAGGACTGTTGGATTATTGTATTACATACAACTTCAGCTACTTCAGTTCTCTTCCTTCTTCTAATCCAAAAGAAGATGATTGAAAAGGATGATTGAACCCACCACTGAAGATATGGTAGAGATTATTGTGACTGTTGGCTCATTTTCTTTATTCTCCATTTTCATATTTTTACCTTCCGGTTTTTTATGCTCATTTACATGTTAAAGTATCTATTACTGTGCCATCTATCTTTTTTCTTTTGCCTCATATTGGTTGACCTTTTACAAGAAGAGTCACGGTAGTGACGTTTTACTCAAAACTTTGCAGCACATACAATAGAAGAGATATAACTACCAAAATAAAAAGGATAAATTGGATTTGGGATGTCAAATGCAGTGGAAGGACCGGCAAAAATCCTGGAGATCTGCCATATCAGAGCCATATAAACTGCAGTAGCAAGATGGAGTCTACTGACGATTTAGTCAAGATTCAGCTGGTGCTATATAAAGGGAGGACTCCATAGTTTTTCATATCCAGTTGGTAGAGAAGCAAAAAGAAACAAAAACATCATAACTGCTGATAAACTCATGGAATGAACTCAGTAAAAATCCTGCACTCAGCTGTTTTTCAGTTATAGTTATGATAACATAACCACAAGCCTTCCTACCTACTTAATTCCACTGGAAGTCTGGTGGAGAGCTGAACGAGTCAATGTATGATATTCCGCCAAACCCTTTTATTGTATAGAAGGAGGGGATGGCTATGCAAGACTACCATTTTCTCTTGTCATTACAAATCTGATGTCAGCCTTATGTAGTATCATCAACTGCCCATAATTCAGATATCATTGTAAGTAATCGTTGATAATTCGAACCAGTTTAAATTTTGTGAGTCTTTGGACAAGAGAAAAGTCCCACAGAGATTAGGATCAAGCACTTCACCAGTTTTGCCAAACTCAGTCAGTGCACAGAGTTTGTTTTTGGTAACTCAATTGCAAAAACTCAGTTCACCAGCTATAAAGTTTTTGTCAAGACATTAGATCTGCATAATAAAAGAACTATACAGAAAACTACTTTTACATGCAATACTTGACAAGGTTTTTACCACATTTTAAAGTTACTTGTTGATTCATCCTAATCGCACCCTATTTGCAATTCAGTGTAGGAATGAATCTACTGCTGGTAAATTCAGCATTCTATGAATGTTTTCCTTGGAGGAAAAAAGCATCTTATGCTACAGTACATATCAAGTAGCTACCCCGTAGTTACTCTACTTTTGCGTAGGTAGTTCGGTGCTCCTTCTCTGCGCATGCTTACTGCAACAGTAGCAGGACTGTAGTAGCTTGACAGCGCGACAGTAGAAGACAGTAGCGTGACAGTAGAATGGAACAAAAAACATCCTAAATGGCTTCTAGAAGGAGAGAGTAGCATTATAGATGAACTTTGAGAGCACAGACAGCCAAAAGAAGCATCTACAAGTTCTACTACAGTACATGTGACTGGGTGGGATTGCAGCATAACACAGCGAAGAGTAACAAAGAGTAGCAAAGTAGTAGCGAAGTACCTTCAAGGTTCTCTTCTCTACTGTACCCTCCTTAGCCTTTTTTTGATGTCTACAACTGACACTAATGTCTAATGATTGATAAGATGATGAATGATGCAACTGATGAATTGCATTATTGTCTTAGTCAAAAAGGATCGATATATCTTCTTTAGGAACTCATTCAAACCAGTACATTAGATGTGTAGTCATGCTGAAACCATGTGATGTCTTACATACTGTAACAGGCATGGAGGTCTTCATTTGAGGAGCTACCTAAAAACCCACATTTGACACAAGCTGAATGCAACACTTTACATTCTCTTTTACTTGAAGTGAATAAAAAGCAATGCGTTAACATGATTACTACTTGTTCAAACGTAGTGTCCTCATTCAGTTTATAATAATTGTTTAATATAAAAACATGATTTAAAACACAGCTTCATATACTACATCATCATCATCATTACTATTATACTGTGTCCATTAACACCATTATACATGTACTGTATGCTGGGTTAACTTCAGTTAGTAATTGGACATTAGACCTGATGGTATTCTCAACTAGAAAAATAAATAAATAAATTTG